ATCAGGGGCACATGAGCCAGGTGTAGCACGCTGTGCTCTTGCTAGTGCTGGAGTAGCCAGGGTGCTCAGATTAATGTCTGACAATTAACAGTAAAAACTATCTGTTTTGTGTGAGATTAACTTTTATTATCTGTATTCTTTATACAAACTTTCAATGAGTACCATATGAAAGTAATTTCATCCCTTCCTGGTTGTCTTCCCTGTGCTTATAAATCCCTCTTCAGAGTTTTGTGAAATGTTGTAGTAAAGCATCAAATTAAAATAGCTCAGTAAATATAAAAGAGCCATATTTTAAATTTTCACATAACTTGAACAAATCTAAAGCAAAATTAATCTTCTGAACAAAATAGAGGAATAAATAAATGATATATAATTAAAACAACAAACACCAACAAAATTCAACAGTAATCTTTCACCATCATATACCAAATTCTGGAGAATTTTTGCATATCATGAATAAGGCAAGCTTGCTTAATAGAAGGGTGCCAGATTTTAAAGCAGGGATTAGAGCTTCTACTGCTCATTTAGTAACTAAGGAAAGTGACAGCAATGGGAGCTGAATTGACTTCCACAAGGGGAAGGATGGGCATCAAGGACTTCTCATGAGCATGCACGTTGTTCTCCTTAAATGATTAAGAACAACGCCCATCCCATGCTCGCTCAGAAAAAGAAAGACAACAGATGGAAGAGCACTTCATGTCTAGAATATTTGAGAAGCCAAGTCACATAAAAGTGAAATTTTATATCAATATTAACACACTTGAAAGAAAAACTAGATTCATCTCTATAGTTGGGGTAATACAGAAATAGAGAAACAACATAAAATAGAATAATTGCAATGTGTTATGGAATGACTGGAGTCAGATTATAACTTTTCTCTCACTAAAATTCATTCTTTTAGTTTAGACCATAACACAATCTCTATAGTAATGATTCTTCTTGAACATCTCCCCTCTCCCCTGCCTCCCTCCCTTCCTCTCTCCCTTCAATATTTTCTTCCCCTCTTTCCTCCATTTTTACTTCCTTCATTCTCTCATTGTCCTTCTCCTCTTTCTCTCTGGCATTGTTTATAATGCAGGGGAAAGAGCAATAAGTTGGGGGGGGGGGTGGCTCACCCTAAAACTGACTCCATGTGAATGTATTTGGTTGACCCTTAGTGATGGAATTGATGGGAACATTAACTTCCACTTGCTGTAGGTTCCTTTATACTAGGAACTTTGTAAAAAGAAGAAAGAGTTCCTTTATGGTCCCTAGCAGAAGTGTCAGCTCCATTGACATAGGGCCATGAAAGCATCCCCTGGATTGAGAGTTGTCTAGCACTGTGGAGCTGGAGGCACTTGGGGTGGTGTGGTTTTGGTGGGGAGGAGAGGAAAATAAAAAATTGCTGAAGCCTGGGTCAAAGGCACTGAGCTATTCTTCTTACTGCCATCACTAGCAAAGATACTCTCTCTCTCTCTCTCTCTCTCTCTCTCTCTCTTTCAGACCACACTCAAGTATCCCTTCTTCTTTAGGGCATCCCTTAATATTTGATTATAGACATAATTTTTTTCTTGTAGTGGGTTGGAACAGTCAAGTAAGAATGTCAGCGGTTTTGCTTTATTAGTATTTATGGACAACTCTGAATCTCTTTGGAAGGGCTACTCATTGGTGGGATATGCTGTGACAAATAGTAAAAACCTAAGCCAGAAAAAAGTGGTGGCTTCTATTCAAATATACCAGTCATAACTTCCTCTAAATCATTAAAGTATTCTTTACTCATAGCTACCTTGCTTCAGAAATAAGGAGATGAACCAAACCCACTACAGAACAGAAACCACTTTCCTTGGGTGGTCATAACTACCCCTCCTCTCTCTCTTGATGAATTTCTGATAGTTCTGAAGTCTTGGAGCAATTGCCTATTCCTCACTAGGCAGGTTCATAGTCGACCAACATTTGTGTTCTTCCCTCATGTAATCAATACCTTGACAGCTGATATGCATGAATTAGAAAATTAATGCATGAATGATAAATACTGGGACGATTTCTTCAGATTTTTGGAATTGGAAAAACTGCATAAATCTCTGTCAAAGCACTTATCTGCGGATTTAATTTGGATAAACCACTTGTCATGAGTTTCAAATGTATACGTAAAATAAGTACTACATAGAGCTGTGTAGATTGTATGTAATAAGATACATACAAACCTTATAATTCAATGTGTAGCACATATTAAGTGATTAACTCATGGCAGATCTTGTATTTTTTCAAAAGATTTCATTGCGCTTATTACTTGAGGCATTGTTTAATATGCTTCAGGTAAGTTGCGAGATGTTTCTTCTTTTTGGCAATATCTTGCCTAAATAAAGATCTTACAGTGTGTAGCGGGGAACAGAGGGGCAGACGTAGAGCACGGGTGCTTAGTACGGGCAATATTCTTGACATTTAAAGTTGAAGAGCCAGAACTTAGGATTGTTAGGGAGCAAAGGTAAAGGCTTGCCATCAGGGTAGGGTAGGGGTGGAGTTCATGTTTACTGGATACATTTGTGGGACTGTGTATCTATATTAAACTTGTCCTGCATTTTCCAACTTCCGACCCTTTTCACTCCATAGTAAATCCTAACACTACTACCCAAAGACTTAAAGAAGGGGGGTATGGCAAATTATCTTAATTATACTCACACTGCTTTTAGATTTTTATTTTTAGATTAATAAAGGAGACTTTTATACATAGAGACCTGACAAACTAGTTAATGACCTTCAGTCTGTTTCCTTTTTAGGTTTGTATTTTGTTGTTTGTTTTGTTTTGTTGCTACCTAACTAGATAGGTGTGAAAGAAAAACAAAACCAAAAATTCTCATGGTTTGAAAGACTTAGCTGAAATCCACCTTTGGAATCAGATTCAATTAAACATGCTACTTGGGTTAAACATAATATAAATCCATATACATTACAGCTCAAGAATCCACAAATTTTTAAAATGTTAGAATTTGTCATTTTTAAAGTATCTAACATGCTCTATGCAAAATCCAGTCCCTTTTGGGCCTCAAAAGTTATTTGGATAATTTTTCTGCCAAAATATAGTGAAATGATGGCTCTTCAGACACATTAATTTGGTTAACATATAAGTAGGAAAAAAAAATATCCAATGCCTTGATATATCTTAAACATCCTGAAAGTGATGGTACAACATACTGCCTTCTATTTACATTTTTTTCCTAATCAGTGAAAACCTTTCTAATTAAGATCAAAGTTAATGAAGTCAAGCAACATTGAAAATTGAAAATTATAACTTTTTTACTCACTTGTAGAAAGTAAATGTGATATACTTTATATATGAAGAATGTTTAGGATCTTTAATAATGCATGAAGTTCTCTGCTTATCAATGTTGCCAATCAAAAATAAATGGCAGACATCATGTACAAACACAAGAATGGGAAGTTATACTCCATGTATGTATGACAGGTCAGATTACATTCTACTGTCATGTATAACTAAAAGGAACAAAATAAAAAAAAATAAGTGGCACACAGGAGGGGTAACAAGTTTATAAAGGGGAATTATTAAGACATGCTAGTATGTAGGGAGTGCTTCTTTGAATATATTTGCAGCAGGCAATGTGGCAATTCCTCTAATATTCCTTGGAACTTGACATAAATAAAAATGATCCTATTCTTGCCAGGCATTTATCAATTATTTTTTAAAATAATCAAATGTCTAATATTTTGGAATCTAGGCACAGTATGTATGTGGTCTTGTGTCATATTCTTGATAAAATCTGTATTTTAAAATATAAATTGAAGCACATTCAGATTTAACTTCCTTCTCCTGAGAAGATTCTATTTCCTATCCTGTTTGGATTTTTCACTGTGGTACATTCAACTTTAGATGTGGCCTTTATATTTCATCCTAAGAAAATTCTGTCATTTTCCAACTTTGAAAGCCAAATTATCATTACATTTGTTACTTTACTTTTGGCAGCAAAACATCTTTTCAAAATTTCATTGCTATTATTTTGAATAAAATATTGCTATGTAGATTATCCCCAGTTAGGTCTAAATTTGGGAAATGAATGAAGGGGTGGCTTTTACATATAGGACATTTTATAAAGGTTTTTCCAACAAGTGTTTCATCTTATTTGCAAGATAAGTAACAGTATGTGTACAGGCAACTTAAATTTTTCTTGGATTACCTTGTGATGCAGAACCTGAGGATGTACTAGGAGAATCACTCACCTTAGGTACTCAGGTTATAAGGCAGAAGCATGAGCATGTGTGTGCACATCCCCTTCCCCATGCAGGAGAAATTGCAAGTAAAGTCTTCAGCAACTTTCTACATTGGTTACCTAAGTAGTGGGGCTTGCAACTAAATTTTTCCTCTGGAGTGGGAATGAATGAGGATAGAGACAGGTAACTCTAAATTGCTGTTAGGATGAATGGTATGGTCCACTGTGAAGACCATTTGGGTAAACCTCCTTTCTTTTGCCACCATATATTCCCATATTCATCCTCAGAATTACTTTCATTTTCCACATTTCTTCTTTCCCCATTCCTCCACATGTTCCATTTAGCTCTCTTCTGCTTGTGTAGGCACTTCCATACGTTCAAAAACAGCAGGGGTGGCTTCTGCTGTCTTCTCTGATACCTGCACCCATTTATAATTCTTACATTAGTCAGACCTAATAGGACTTCCAACCCAGAGCCTTTTTATTTGATCTGATTTGAGATGACACATCCTGGGAATTGAAAGCAAACACTGAGACTCTGAGCAATAACGGAAACAGTGTTATCATCCATGTAGCAATTTTAAATGTTTGTTGATTGACCCTGAGATAAAATAATCTTCCTTAAAAATAATAGTGTAGATTTAAGTCTTCAGTGCCCTTTTAACTTACATTAATATAATTTTATTCATTTTGTTATCATAAAGGGAAAATTATGGGAGTCACGGGAAGTAAATGTGGAGGAGGGGAGCAGTCTGATATCAAAATGGAAGGAAAATGATAGCCAAGTTAAGATTTAGCTGGAATGTAACATATCCACAGCTTTATCACTTTGGAGGCACATTTTGACATAATAACAAACTACTGAGACAGAACCACTTTTATCTAGGTCAGAATGACAGACTCTAAGTGTTAGAGAGCTTGAAGGAACTACAGTTTGTAGTTTGAAGCATCAGGAAGAAGACTGCAATCTGTACAAAGATTTTCATCAAGTCTCGACACTGCCTGATAGTTTTCATCCAATACATTGTAATTACTCCACTGGCTTATAATGGCATAGCATTTTGATTTCAGAACCCAGCAAAGGAAAATGAACCACATTTGATGTTGACTACATTTATAATAAGATGCAGATGGTAAAAGAAACAGATGCCTCTGACATCATCTCCCATTTGCCTTCAATTTTGCAGACACTGGCGGTCTGTAAACTCACTCAAAAGGAAGCAAGAAAAGTCAGGCAGTTTTCCAATTCTGTCTCCAGTCTAAGAAAACACTGGCAGCAGTGGCACGGCTTTCTTTGACTCATACAGTGGTAATTCCACAAAAAATAAATTTGTTTCTGTGTCAGTCTTTAATGCAAAATTAATCATCAAAAAAAGGAAAACTCCACAAACACAGGGAGGTCAGCAATTAGTACCTACTGACTGTTTTGCTGGACAGTGACAAAAAGGACAGGGTGGGAATAGTGTAATGGCAAACAGCTGTAGCTTCAGGAAGTCAAAAAGAGACTTTTAAACAGACAAGCATGTCTAAAAAACCAGCCCTCAGCACCCAGACTGTTCAGACTTATTTCTTGTTATTTGTAAGTAAAAAATTTTAAGGAAACTTTCCAGGTTACTATTTCTGACTTAAAAAAAAAAAAAAAAATCTTTATTCTGTATTTCCATCTGCATTTCCAGAAGGAATCTTATAGTTCTGATAGGAACTTAACGCCATTTCTCCAGTGATATCACTGAGTGTTATATAAAGTAAAAGGAATTCACTTTTTTTTTCTTTTTCTTTGTGCAAGATAAGTGTGTTAAAAGACCTTTTCAAAAAGATAAGGAACTTTTGTAGTCCATCTTGAAAAGAAGAGATGCTTGGGTAAAGCAGCAACTGCAAGGCCTTTAGTAGTGTATGAGGTCCCCAGATAGATTAGCACAGTTACAGAAGAAGGCAAGTTAAACAAAATCCTTTAAAATCTTCCCATCTTCCCGGAAGCCCATGGTATAATTTCATCTAACTTCTGAAACAGAAATATTTTAGCAGAAAAAAAATTCAGAAACAAAAGCAAGGAAAGTGGTAACATAAAAATAAATCCTGCTAGGCCAAATATGGTGCCTATTTTTTAAATAATCTCTCTGTGCAAATAAAAGTACACACACACACACACCCACACACACACACACAATACAAGAATAAACAAACTCTTCTAGTCCATATCCACAAAGCGGGTGGGGAAGCATTAGTGCAAATTTCTGCTGACCTGCAGCATTTAGTCCATAAACTTTGGATATCCTAGTCGGTCCATCAGTGTCCAGCAGATGTTTTCAATTAGTTTAATTTCATCTCTAGGCAAGTTTTGTTTCCAAACATTAGTATTAGTTGGTGATATTTCTCCTTCATATGGAAGGTAAAAAAGGTTTGTGGAAGTGGCAAACAATATTTGGTTTAAACTAGCAGGAGACAAAGGAATTCCAAGAAAAGCAAAAATCCTTTCAGTAGTTTTTTGAGGAAAATGAACAATATCTTCAAACTTGACCAGCTGGTAGCTGGTAGGCAGCAAATCTGTATTTATTCTCAAAGCTGCTGCTGTATTTGCTAGCCATAAATGAGACAATAAGGAGACAGCGTTTGATTCAGAATTTTCTAATTCTTTCTTCAATGGTTCATACTCAAATGCATAGCCTGAATTTAAGTTACATTTGCCTTTACCTCCCTCTATTTTAAACAATTTTGCTAAGTGCTCTGGTACATTCTTCAAAGTGTAAAGACTTGGCTTACTACTGTACAGCATTGAATAAATCCAGGCCCGAGGGTCTCTTACAATATACAATGCCCTCATCGAAGCTCCTAATACTTCCTGAAAAAAATGAAGCTTCAATGTCCAGCTACCGCTACTTAAACTAAGCACAGGACGTGCACTTGGGTAATAGACCAGGTGTCTCCTCAAAGCCCTAATATATTCAGCATCTCTGTCAAAAGCGCCTTTCATTCTACTTCTTTGTTCCAGCAAAGACTCTCTCCTTTTCAATTTTCTTTTCTTGTCCTTATTTGTTGTAAAATATTGGGCCAGTTTACCCCTACTGGTCTCATGCAGATGGATGTTTTGTAAATGTAGTTTTGTGTCCTGGACTAAAGACTGCAACCAGCCTCGAAGTAAACGGAAATGCCCACTGTGGATATCTGATACCTTCCATTCACAAGCATCTACAAATGAATCAATTTCAAATTCCGTTTCAGGGATATCAATGTAGGCTGTAGGAACTCTGATGTAGAGAAAGTCACTACTGTTGAAAAAAAGTTGTTTAAGTATTTCGGCTCCGGAACCAGGAAGTGAGGTAATGACAACATCAGGAAGATCCACGTAGAGCCCCTTGGAAGACACAGACTTCTTGCTTGTCTCAGTTCCTGTTCTTGTCCATTTTGCACAGATGGGCTGAGTGCAAGTGCTCCATACATCTAGAAGCTCAATAACCCACAAGGCAATAACAAGTATTAGTATCCAACGCATTAGTTTTCTAAAAGAAAGGTAAAACCGCCATTGAAATGTTAAAATCACCAAACTAATGCACAAAATTAATCCAATTGCTATGTTAAACTTAAATCCAAAGGGGAAAATAGCTCTATCTTGTCGTATAGGCAGTACTATTGCTTGAGTACCCAAACCAAATCGGGTTATTTGGCCTTGGTCAGCCACATTGGCAAAGCCACCAAATCCCAGGTAATTGAATCTTGTTTTCAGGTTGTGGTAGTCAGTTACAATGGAAACAACGTGTTCAGTGTTATTGACATTGAGAGAAATCTGAAGTCCAGAATTGGAATTATCAATGAATCTGCAGCTGGAAACATTGACATATGGCCCATAAAAGACATATGCAATTCTTGTGATTGTGGATTCCATCTGAAAGGTCACATTAACAAACTGAGTCCACCGTTTCTTAAATTCAGCTGCTTGTTCTGCTTCCTGTATACTAGCCATGGGGCTATTGCCACGGTGATCAAACCAGAACATTTTGTAGTGTGCATCCCATACATCCATCATGGCACCATTATACCTATTCATAAACCTATATGGGATGTATTTAAAATCAATATCCAGGTTATGAAAGAAGGCACTGACAGAATTTATCGGGGAAGCTTCTTGCCTCTCAATGTGGTCAACGACTAGCAGAGTTTGAGAATTTAAGAGGAGTAAAGCACGATACACACTTTTCAGTCTCATTGCTGAAGAATAAGCAGATACTGCTTCCCCACTCACAAATATCATTTCCCCATGTTGAGAGGCAGTGATGATTTCCCCTGCTGAGTCACCAACTTCCTCACCAGTCCACTTGAGCCACTGTGCACATTCTCCCAGTTGGCCTTCCCAGGGCTTATTACATTGGCTTGAGGGTGACGGAGCAAACACCAATACATTGTTAAGGTGGCTCAACTTTGGTCCATAGAGAGCTTCAGAAACAAAAACTTGCCCATTGGGGGCAAATGTAAATGAGTTCTGATCTGGATGTTCATGTCCAGGGTTAAAGCTTCTCCACCCATCAATCCAGGAGTATGGCTGAAAGTGAACTATGTCATACACAGCTCTTCCCCCCAGCTTCCCAGATTTGAAGGACACAAAGGTATTGGTTTGTGTGTTTGGCAGCCCAGCCCCATAAGTGACAACTCCCCAGTTAGGAAATGTGTGCATCTTTGCAGTACCATAGTCAGCAGGGGGCTGTGGGGTTAGTTGTGGATCATACCAGATGTATTCTGTGTGGAGAGTACTCCACCTCTGGGCAGTGGATGGAACCATGGGTCCATCTTTGGGTCGATGCTTTCTAATTTGCTGAGCTAACCAATTTCCTGCTCCATTCTTTAAGATAAACTTATCCAAGAAAACTAGCTGACTCTCTGGACCATAAAACCAATTATAATTAGAATCTGCTATACCCACAGTTCTTTGGAAGCCTGGCAAAAGGGTGGCATAGTAGAACCAAAAGTGCATTTTTAACCAGTTATTATCCAAGTTGTTGATATTAAAATGGCGCTGTGCCAAAAAAACATACTGCATAACTGATTTAGCTGTGTAGCTTCCATAGGCCACACCTTCATCCAAGGAGCCATCAACAATGTGATTCAATAGAAACATTGTCTTTTCCATGACATCTACTACAACCTGTTTCCATATATTTGCTTTAGATCCTTTATCTACCCCAGTAACCAAGGCCCCTGTGAGTACTGCTATCATATTGGTAGCCTGATGGTTATGGAGAAGTTGTTTGCCCCATGAGCGGACCTTGGAGTATTCATACATTTCCTCAGTAATAACCCATATTTTTTCCAGATATCTTTGTCTTCGATGATTATCTAATAAGTTATATAAAAAGTCAAAGGCAGTGGCAAAACCTGTTAACGAATGGCCAACCGGAACCTCATCTCCTGGTGCATTCTCAACCAGCCAATCTTTGTAGCTTACCATCCGGTCCATGTATTCCAAGACAAATTCAAAGGCAACTTTGTCTTCTGGACATAACAAACAGTACAATGCTAAAGGAGGCAGATTGTTACCATAAATTTCATTCCACTTGGCAGCAAAATCGGCATGCTTGGGTGGAGGTAGGTAGTATGTTGGGTTGGACAGCATAACTGTCACTGCACTTCTGATAGCTCTAAAAAGATGCAAATGGCTTGTGCGAGACTTTTGTCTCATTGCTTGGATTTCTCCAGCATCAAAATATAAACTTGGATGAAGCATACTTCTCCTCAGCTTTTGGTTGGGTCTGAAATCTTGCACTTTCTGTGTCTTAAACTGATCTATATCATCTGTGAAAACTGCCCATTCAGAGTAATTACTCACAGACTCTTCAAGAGTAGAGAAACCAAACATCACTAATGTTAAAATTAGGAAATGTCCTGTAAACATTAACGCCATGATCCATGGGGAAGATACTTTCCTTAGGCATACATAACAAATAGGGTGTTTAATGTGTTTTCCATCTGGCTAATATAAAGCATATATTAAAGATCTTGATTAAACTGAATTTAAAATCTTCTATGCTGACATTCAGCTCATTCAAAGCAAGTACATTTGCCAAAAAGAGAAAAGTTTACATAGCGCATCTGTATCCCTGGCACAGTTCTGTTCCAGTAAATTTCAAGGAATATTAATACCTCTAATTTTTCTGTAACAGAGGAACAGTGGTAATAGTCAAAATTACTATAAATGCAGCATTTACTTCCTTTACATTAGTCTATTTGAACAGAAGAATCAAATCATACATGGTACAAGAAAGAAAAAGCACTCCAAAATTAAAATTAAGAGTCATTTGTAGCACAGCAAGTCATCACTGGTGATACACTCACCACACGTGTATGACTTGTTTCTGTGTGTTTGACTGAAGACCATGGCAAAGTACTAACATTCTTGGAATGAGTGGAATCACTGATTATTCCTTTCAATATTTTATGCTTCTTGGTTTGTGAACTATTTCTTCTTCCATTTTGGGGATAAAAACATCTTCAAAAAGTGTTCAAAGTCCTATGTGATTTAAAAATATTCAAACTCCTGCCTTCATTTCAAATGTCTTTTCCAGGCTTACTGACTCATCAGTCTATATGACACAGGAAAGCATTTTGATGTCTTCTTCTATCAGCTTCATCAATACAACTATAAAAATCTAATCTCTTCAGCCACCTAGGCACATCTTTTCCAATCATGGAGTAACCATCAACGGGAAAAGAAAACTCCCCTTTCATCAACAGTGACCATGCCGTCTCTTTTCTCTTCCTTTTTCATGACTCTCCTTTCTGGGGGGAAAACAAAACAAAGCAATTGTCTGAGGCTACAGGTAGCTGAAAGTGAAGGCAAACTAATGATTTAAATACTCTACAGTCACTTGATAGAAATTTGAGAATCATAATAAAATCTGATATTATATACAATCTAAGTGATTGATAGATACTAATCAAGCGATTTGTTTTCTTAGACTTTTATGCACATACAAGGATTCCGAAGACTGTGAGTAGATGACAAGCAGCTGTGATATATACATTGCATTAGTCCTTTTTTTAATGCTTTCATTAAAATGCAGTTAAAGAGGAATCCTGCTATCATTCTTGTTATTTTGGTTACAAATGACCCAGAGACATAAAAGTAAACCTTGAAAGAGCCTTTTTTTGTTGCTATTCTGGCTGAAGGTCTGGCCTTCGCCACATCAGGAGTCTTCCCAGGGGGGAGCAGGAGGAAGAGGACAAGAAAGAGGGTCATTCCTCCAGGGGGAAGGCCATCCAGGGCAGCACGGCGGCCTCACCTGTGGCCTGCGCCAGCGTCCCCGCACGGGCCAGCAGAGGGCGCGCGGAGCCAGCGCTGCCCGCCGCCCGCCTTCGCCGTCCCCGGTCGGCAAGAGCTAACCAAGTTTCAGTCTCGGGCAAGTCTGCTCTCCGCAGGAGATGCTGTCGCTAGGAGTTTCCCGACCCGCCCCGCCTGTTGCATTTTCTAATTCGCGTCCCACCAACCTGTCACTCCTGCCCGCGCTCGCGGCTCGCCGACCGGGACCGGCGGTCCGGGGCGGGCGACCCCCAGATGGCCCAGTGCCACTGCTTACCTCCGGCGGCTGCGACGGGTCTGGGGCGGCGCTGGGCCCCAACAGCCGCGGCGGCGGGGAGTTGGGGACTTCGCGGCGCCGGAAGCCGGCCGGCGGCCCCGCAGGGACCCCGCGCTCCCACGGGCTGAGCCGGCGCCAGGGGTCCTCCGCGGCGCTCGGGCACGCCCGCCCTCGGGGAACGCCGGGCGCTCCGGGGCTCACCCGGACCGCCGCAGGCAACCGTGGGCGGCTTGCGCACTCGGGGCAGCGTGTCCAGCGGGAGCCGCGTCGCCAGGCCGCGACGACACTGCGACCGCCGCTCCTCCGCGCCAGCTCCGGCCGCGCGGCCCAGGGAGGGCGAGAGACGGCGAAGGGGGCCGGCGGCCGGGGGCGGGGCGGGGCGGGCGGAGGCGGGGCCTGGGGCGGGGAGCGGCGGCGACGCGGGCCGGAGGGGCGTGGTCGGGAGCGGGGGCGGGGCCAAGCGCGGCGGGGAAGCGGCGCGGAGGTTCTGGGCTGCGGCGGCCGCGGTGCGCTCCGAGGGGCCGAGCGGGAGGAGGGGCAGTGAGGGAGCGCGAGGGCCACGATCCCGCGGGCTGGCGTTGAGATCATTTGGTTAAGCCAAGAGGACAAGTGTAACAGAGCCACGGGTGGATGGGGTTGATGATAAATGATGGGAGATGAGGTGATGATCCCGGTGACGTTTGTGATAACAAGATTCACCCTCAGGAAAGAGCCAGCGCTGGAGAGGGAAGGACCACTGTCTTGGAACCCGGAGGTAACCTGGCTGAGGTTGCAGTCATTGCAAAACAAAACCAAAATGCGTATATTAGTGTATGAAAACAACTTCAGTAGCACAGATGCAACCGACCAGGGCAAAATAATAATAACCACGAGTCACCTTTACCAATTGAAAATAATTTTAACGGCAGTATAAATAGGAGCAATATGGGATAAACAAGTAGAAGGAGACTCATAAAATGAAGAGAAATATCCATTAGAAATCTACAAACTGGTGGAGGCAGCCCGTCTTGGTTACTCTCACATGCTTGTGCAACTCCAGAGCTTGGGATTTCCTCTTATACTGGACATTGGGAACTTCTCACAGATACCAGATTACAGTATGACAAGACTCAAACCAAGTCTGACCACACTGTCACAATTAACAGCTCAGTCGTAATAAGAATATATTTCTGTCGTAGTGGGACACCTGCCCTGGTCCAAATGGCCAGTGCTTTTGCTTCAGCCCTTCAGGAACTGTATTTATTGTATTTCTTGTTTTTCAATACCCAGTACTTAAAATCAGCCCCACTTACCAGTTGCAATTTTTCTAAATATCAGATTTCTTTTATTATCCTGATCTCAACTCAGATGCTTAATTTCCTGTATACATAACTCCTGAATTTCTGAAACTAATTTGTATGACTAGCACTATATTGTTTCTACTTATATTCATCCCTTAAACTTTTTTTTTTAATGCTTACTATTTTACCTGGCTCACTCCTGTACTCTTATGTGAAGATCCTTTAAGTCATGATTAGAATGCCATCCTCATTGTAGGTGCTATACTTTTGTTTATAATGAGTTGAACTTTTAACAAGTGGGCTCACATAAAGCTTTTTCTCCTATTGAGATTTATTACTAAACAAAGGTCTTTGACAATCAGAGACAGAACCTCCTGTGAATATCTGCATACTTGCTCCATGTGACCTCTGATGGAGGAAACCCCTGGGCTCCATCCTCCTTATGGAAGAATACAATTAGGGCAAAGAAGAGCCTGTCTGCAGAAATGCCTACATTTTCTGCAGAGTTGAGCCTAGGAATTAGTTTTAGTAAACACACTTAGTAAATAAGCGGACTTGAGAACAAAATGTACAGATAGGGCTATTTTATTTTGTGGATCCAAAGTGCCCCACGATGCAAGGAATAAATGACTCAGGCAGAATTGGTGCACAAACATCTGCCAGACAGATATTTCAAGCTTCATCCAATCATTATATCTTCAGATTTATTAACATTAACATGATCATTCTGAATTTATAGATGAATGAAACCAGGTACAGACATTGTGGACTTTCAATTCTGCCCCATGTATCTGGGCTGAAGCTCTGGGGATGTGCTAACCCTCAGCATTCTCAGATGAGCTTTCAGGTTTTTCATCTTGAACAGGCATCTTCTCACACATGTGAAATGTGAGTGCCTTGAAATAAAAAGAAGCCATGGATGAACAATCCAAATCATTGGAGAAAGGTTGGTAGGTAAATGGCACTATTAAAAATGAAGAGAGCCTTGTTTCCTGTGAACTAAAAATGGATAGCTCCAATTATTGTTCCTTCTACACATGAAGATGGTACAAAGTTAGTTAATTATAAATAATGCATCCAGCCATAGAAGGGATGAGCTATATGCTATGTTATTGTACATTAAAAACCTTTATGAGTGTGGCAAGAGACGCATATACCAACAGCTGCTAAATTCAGAATCCTGAAGCAGTATCGTATTTTAATGGAAGTGAAGAACAGTACAGTCTGTTGCTCTGGGGATTTCTCTCTACATAAAATGATCTTAAATCTACATGAGATTTTTCACAGTGATTTCAAAGCACTTATAAAAATCAGTTTTCTTTATTTGCACATCTTTCAATCTATCCTCAACCACTCGACTTTCAACAGTGCTTTTCAGAATAAAATAAATTTTAGAATCAATCCCCCAGTGCAGAAGTCTTATTTTTTTTCCTTCTTTCCCTCTCTCCTTTATTCCCTTCCTTGTTCTTTCCTTCCTTTAGTTCCCTCCTCTCTCCCTCCCTCCCTCCCTCCCCTTCTTCCTTCCTCTCTCCCACCCTCAGTCCCTCCTTAGTTTCTTCATTTGTTTGTTGGTTCTTTCTCTTTACTTTTTTATTTCTTTATTTCTTTCCTATTCTCAACGACTGTTCCAGAGCTTGGCACTTTGTGTTGGATGTGTCTTGAAAGTTGAACATGAATTATCACCCCCTTTTCATGGCAGAAGAGAAAACGTAAGCAGGTCTAAAGTGGGTTGCAAATCTAAGCAGAAGCAATGCCCCTTTTTCTTCGAACTGCTGAGAAGCTTGCTTCACACAACCCATAGTTGGAGCTATGTCTCGGGGTGACTTAATTCAAGTGACACCTAAGTCTGGGAAGCCAGCCAACATTTTAAAGAGAATTTCTGCAAGAATTTTATGTCTTGAGATAGGTAAATTCAAGTTCTAAACCTTAGAACATAAGTTAAACACTACATAGTCTTTCAGAACAATAAAATGCAAGCAATAAAACAAACTTGACACTATATAAAGTCCTCGGGCTGAAGTCTTATTTGTCTGTGATCTATATCTCTTGTGGACTCTTGATAATCGGAACCAAGATATCCCAGAACTAATTGCTGTGCGTTTAGCAACTGATCATGCTCAGATTTCTAATTTATCAGCTTACCCAACATACACTCATCTGAATCTGGGAATGGTTTTGCTATTCTTTAGGATAGGCCTTCTTGCTAAGGCTTTGTCTGTGAGACCTCAAATGCAGATTTTCTGAACCACTTACCAGGACCAGATGTATGCTAGGTTGATCCACTAACAATACTACAACTAGTATTTGCCCCAAGTTTGGGGATAAGTCAGTGACACCATTTAGAAACAGACATCAAATGCAAGTTGCAAATTTTATTGCAAAATTGGCCAGCAGTAATATGCCACACCAACAATAAAGACACAACACAGATTTGAGGAAGGCCGTAGAATCTGGAAATACTCTTTAGCAATTGTTTTGAATACAAAACATCTCAAAATGACAGGGATTTTGCCTGCAGAGTCATTAATGAAGATGTGGCTGAATGTGTTCCTTAAGTTTGTTTATCCCACTGTATGAGAGTGAGTGTGACAGTATTTGGATTTAAAATACTTAAACTTACTAAAGTCAAATTCTGAGGAACAGAGTTTCCTCATAAGTCTACTAAAGCTTTGTATTTATAAATGAGAAGCTTTATCGCCACTGTATCTGCTTACATACAATTTTGGTTTGGCTCTAAAAGAAAAGTTTAAACAAAGTAAAACTTGCAAAGGGATAACAAGATGGTTTTTCCAAGACTCTTCTCCCCCATCCTCTCTGTTCTCCTCTACTTATACCGTTGGTTCTCAGCATGGGGCAGTTTTGTCCCTGGGAGGACATTTGGCAATGTCTGGAGAAATTTGGATTATCATAGCCGGTCAGTTGTGGTGGTGGTGCTGCTGGTCATTTATCAGGTACAGGGCAGGGATGTCATTAAATATCCCATGATGCATAAGACAGCCCCCCGCCCCCACTGCTAAAGTTATCCAGTCCAACCCGTCAACACTATGGACACTACACCTCTCTACCCTGACCCATTGACTCTAAAAAGTAACTAGGTGCTAATTTTTGGTAGTTGAAAAAGTCATGAACTATCTCTGACTGTTTCGGTCACCTCCTTGCAGCTCATTCCAGAGTCAGATTCAGTGTGTGAACGTACATGTCCCTCCAAACTTCACACATTGGAACCACAATCCAACGTGATGTTGTTAAGAGGTGAGGTTTCTCAGAAGTGATTGGGGTTGCCCTTGTGAGTGGAATCAGTGCTCCAGTGAAGAAGTGGAAGCGACTTCCCGGGTGCCTTGTTGTCCTCTGCCTCAATCTGTTTTGTGCTTCTGCAATAGAATACCTCATTCTAGGTCACTGGGGAAAAGAGGAGGTTTGTATCCTCACAGTTCTGGAGGCTGGGAGGTTGAAGAACAAGGCACCTACAGGTTAGGACCAGTCTCTCTACCTTGGAGACAGCACCTGAGTAGAGCATCCTCCAGAGGGTGGTGAGGAATATGTGTTCTCATGGCAGAAGAGAGGAGAGTGGAGGACCCACTTCCAAAAATGCTTTTTTACATCAGATTAATTTCTCCGTGAGAACAGAGTCCCCAAGACCTCAACTCCTACTAGGCCCCAATTCCCAACACTGATGCATTAAGGATTAAGTTTCCAGCACACAAATGGAGGGGGGGGCACATTCAGCATCTGTGTTCCTTTCCCTAGGGAGGAAACAGCATTCATCCCTTTTATGCCCCTTTTGTGAGGTAAGGACTCACTGTGAGGCTCTCTCTTGGAAACAGAAAGTAGGCATTCACCCACCACAATCTGTTGGCACCTTGAACATGGACTTACCTGCCTCTAGAGATGTAAGAAATAAATTTATACTTTGTTTATATGACCCCATCTATGGTATTTTGCTTTAAGAGCAGGAACAGCCTAAGACTCTTACTAATTTGTTCACAGATGGCTTTCTGTAATCTACTACAGACTACATACTGACTTC